TTGACAACACCCTCTGCAACTGGATCCTGGAATTCCTGACAGGCAGACCACAGGCTGTGAGGATTGGCAACAACACCTCCTCCACACTGACTCTTAACACAGGGGCCCCCCAGGGGTGTGTCTTCAGCCCTCTTCTGTACTCCCTGGTCACCCACGACTGCGTTGCTTTGCACGATACCAACTCCATCATCAAGTTTGATGACGACACCACGGTTGTAGGCCTGATAGCCAACAATGACGAGTCAGTATATAGGGAGGAGGTAAGGGAACTGTCATTGTGATGCCAGGACAACTACCTCTCCTTCAATGTCAGCAAAACAAAGGAGTTGATTGTTGACTTCAGGAAGCAGAGGAGGGAACATGCCCTGATCCACATCAACGGGATTGCTGTAGAGAGAGTCAGCAGTTTTAAGTTCCTCGGCGTCCACATCACAGAGGACTTGACATTGACCAACAACACCACGACTCTTGTCAAGAGGGTGCAACAGCGTTTCTACTTCCTAAGGCGGCTGAAGAAATTCGGCATGCCACCCCGGGTCCTCTCCAAATACTTTCACTGCACCATCAAGTGTCCTGACTGCCACGAGCTATTCACTCCCTTACCGTCAGGCAGACGGTATCGGAGCATGAGGTCTCATACAAACAGGTTCAGAGGCAGTTTCTATCTACAAGCCATCAGACTGCTGAACACTTGAACTAAACTGACCACCTGCTCGGATTCTCCTTATCTTAGTACACATGTACACACCCACGCAGACAAACACATATCCACACACACACACATACATTTATGCTACACACACAACGTCTGCTACCAGACTCTTATTATGATTGCTAAATACTGTACAATTTGAACACTTCCTCCCCAATCTTCCTTTCCCCAAAACGCGTGTAAATATTGGACTATAAATTGTGCCTTCCTGTATTATACTTATGCTAAAATGTTTATTCTATTTACATTATGTTCATATTCTTAAATTGTATTATTTCTTATTGCATTGTCGATAAGGAATCTGCAAGTAAGCGTTTCGTTGGACTTTGTATACCATGTGTATCCTGTACATATGACTAATAAAACTTGAAACTGAAACAGCGTATTATTATCGTGACCTGTCAGCCACTGAGCCATAGAGTAAAATAGTCACTAGTAACTCTATTTCTATGCTGTAGGGACGTCAAAGCCTTATCTTTAATACACTACCGTTCAAAAGTTTGGGGTCACTTGTTAAAAAAATTAAATAAAAAAAAATCCATTAAAATAACATCAAATTGATCAGAAATACAGTGTAGACATTGTTAATGTTGTAAATGGCTATTGTAGCTGGAAACGGCTGATTTTTAATAGAATATCTATATAGGCATACAGAGGACCATTATCAGCAACAATCAGTCCTGTGTTCCAATGGCACGTTGTGTTTGCTAATCCAAGTTTATCATTTTAAAAGGCTAATTGATCATTAGAAAACCCTTTTGCAATTATGTTAGCACAGCTGAAAACTGTTGTGGTGATTAAATAAGCAATAAAACTGGCCTTCTTGAGACTAGTTGTATATCTGGAGCATCAGCAATTGTGGGTTCGATTACAGGCTCAAAATGGCCAGAATCAAATACGTTTCTTCTGAAACTAGTCAGTCTATTCTTGTTCTGAGAAATAAAGGCTATTCCATGCGAGAAATTGCCAAGAAACTGAAGATCTCGTACAACGCTGTGTACTACTCCCTTCACAGAACAGCGCAAACTGGCTCTAACCAGAATAGAAAGAGGAGTGGGATATCCTGGGGCACAACTGAGCAATAGGACAAATACATTAGAGTGTCTAGTTTGAGAAACAGACACCTCACAGGTCCTCAACTGGCAGCTTCATTAAATAGTATCCGCAAAACAGCAGTCTCAACGTCAACAGTGAAGAGGGGACTCTGGGATGCTGACCTTCTAGGCAGAGTTGCAAAGAAAAAGCCATATCTCAGACTGGCCAATAAAAATAAAAGATTAAGATGGATTAAGAAAAGAACACAGACACTGGACAGAGGAAGATTGGAAAAAAAGTGTTATGGATAGACAAATCGAAGTTTGAGGTGTTTGGATCACAAAGAAGAACATTTGTGAGACGCAGACCAAATGAAAAGATGCTGGAGGAGTGCTTGATGCCATCTGTCAAGCATGGTGGAGGCAATGTGATGGTCTGGGGGTGCTTTGGTGGTGGTAAAGTGGGAGATTTGTACAGGGTAAAAGGGATCTTGAAGAAGGAAGGCTATCCCTCCATTTTGTAACGCCCTGCCATACCCTGTGGACGGCGCTTGATTGGAGCCAATTTCCTCCTACAACAGGACAACGACCCAATGCACAGCTCCAAACTATGCAATAACTATTTAGGGAAGAAGCAGTCAGCTGGTATTCTGTCTATAATGGAGTGGCCAGCACAGTCACCGGATCTCAACCCTATTGAGCTGTTGTGGGAGCAGCTAGTACCTACTGTAAAACACTCTCCTGTTCTCCTGTGGAACTAGTTTTGGGTTGAGTCAGCATTGGGTTGACAAGACTCTCTCTGCTTTCCTCTCTTTACTTATCTGTCTCTCAGTCTGTCTCTTATCTCATGTTCTCGCTCTATCTTTTCTTTCATTATTCACCCGTTTCTCTCTTTATTCACCTGTACATCTCTACTGATCCCCTTTCTCTCTCTTGCTCTCGCTCTCTATCTCTACCATTCCTCTTTTCATTTAAATTCCTCCCCATACCCATTTTTCTCATCACTGATAGAAAATGTAAACATTTTATTTATTTATTTCTCTCTCTCTCTCTCTCTCTCTCTCTCTCTCTCTCTCTCTCTCTCTCTCTCTCTCTCTCTCTCTCTCTCTCTCTCTCTCTCTCTCTCTCTCTCTCTCTCTCTCTCTCTCCTTCCCTCTCTTCCTCCTCTCTCTTTCTATCTCTGCAGGATCCTGTCTGCAATGCTGACATTCATGGTGCATATCCTCATCATCTCCCATGGTGAGTTGAGTTCCTTCCCCATTAGAAGAATCTGAACTATCTCACTGCATCCATCCACATTACCTCCCCTACAATCTCCCGTGGGCAGATTCCTTCGTGTAGACCGAGATAATCTTCCAGGACTGACTGATTGGGATGTGTGAGATCCGAGCAGCATTAGTTCCGGATTGGGTGAAGGCGGTGCTTAAACTGCTTTGCCCTTCGAGTGCATTGTGCGTGTGCCCACACGGATCATAAAGGGGGTTCTGCCTGTAATCACACAATGTCACTCACTCTAACCTGGAATAATTATAGCAAACATTTCAGCAGCAACGCCACATGTAGTTACATGTTACATATAGTTCCATATTGATTGAACTCAGCTGCTATTCCCTGGAACTAGGCCTACCCATGTCAGCACATACAGGACAGGGCACTTGTATTCGTACACACAGAAACACAGGGCCTCTTCCCATACTATCACATCCACTACACCAGGATTTCCCAAACTCGGTCCTCGGGACCCCAAGGGGTGAACGTTTTGTTTTTTGCCCTAGCACTACACAGCTGATTCAATTAATAAACAAATCATCAAGCTTTGAATCAGCTGTGTAGTGTTATGGCAAAAACCAAAAAGTGCACCCCTTGGGGTCCCGAGGACATAGTTTGGGAAACGCTGCATTACACACTATCACACCACTAGCTACTTACAATACAGTCCATTATTGACAAAACTAAAAAGGGCTGTTGAGTGTTGCATTTCATTGGTGTGACACTGTGTGATCCAAATAGAAGTATGCTGTTCTCTAAGGCAACAATACTTCTACCACACAAGTGAAAGACAGAACAGATCAGCAGTACATCATATTCCCTGACCATATTGACGGCCCATATTGAACCCAGTAGACACACAAAAATAAATGTAGTATTACCGGCCCATGATTGCTGCGCCACATACCTTTTAATTAGGCTAGTTACACAACATTTCAGTCCAAGAGTGGATCTTCGTCACATAAACTAACCGTAATTTGTGTCTATGTGTGCTTACATGTCGGTATATGTTACATGTATGTGTCTTATTGAGCACACACTGTGTTTGGAAATGGGTATACAGAACCCTTCTGTAATATCTACCCCAAGCCAGCATGGTATGGGGACACTGGGAGGGAGTGTGGGTGGCTAATGGGTGGAATGAATCATGGTCTTGGAGGAGGCTGCAGAGGTTTGGTTTTGTTGGGCAGAGGGGGTCTGGTGGGTGTCATTCTCATCCCTCATACTGTATGTCTCCCCGAGGCACTGTATCCCTATGATGTGTCTTAATATTGTGTCAGTCACATTGGTTCACCTGTTGATATAGGACCATGTTCAGTATTTATCCTTAAGCATATAGAATCCCTCTGGGAAAGACTGAGGTTATCAGAGTTGATTCTACCGATGTTCTCTGAACAATAGTGTTGCCTTTTTATAATACTTTGAATGATTGATCTCTTGAATCATTATGTAACGTATACGCAAGGAGTCCGGAAGCAAGTGCAGTTAGTGAGTTTAATGACGAAGAACATTGAACGATACAAAACAAGAAAAACTTTTAAACATGGAAACATACAATATTGCCTGGTGGGTGATAACAACAGAGTGTTAAATAAAGGGGACGTAATCAGGGAGGTGATGAAGTCCAGGTGTGCCGAATGAGGCGCAGGTGTGCGTAATGAAGGTTGCCATGTGTGCGTAAAGATGGGTTGCCAGGACCGGTGGTTAGTAGACCGGCGACATCAAGCACCGGAGAGGGGGAGCAGGTGTGGACGTGACACATTATTATCAATTAACATCAATGTCCTCCATTTAAAATGTTTTAATTCTGCCTAGGAGCAAATGCTATTGTAATGGCTGGAAATAAATATTGTGGGGATGGAATACCATGAGAAGAATCAAACCCACAACTCTTGTGTTTACCAGCATCGTCATGCCACAGCTTCTGCCCTGTGTCTTATGTCATTTTCTGTCAACCATCTTAACTTCCCGTTTCTGCCTAAGGTGTTGTGTCTGTGGAGCCTGTGCACGAATCCCCCCATGGACACCTTCTAGACCTCCCCTGGCAGACAGAGCTCTGCTGTGCCTCACCCCCAGCCCATCTTCACCAGATGGGAGAGGGAGAGGGGTCTGCAGGGTCCAGGAGGGCACCATCTGATCCGGGACACCCACACACACCCCAGTGCCTCTTTAGGAACTCCACAAGCACACTAGTACCTCCCCAGGAGACAAATCCCAGTGGAGGTCAGAGTCCTGCTCTGTTTTACTGACATTACATTTAGTGGGTGATAGTTCTCTCTACTAGACCTGGGCCCATATTCACAAAGCATCTTAGAGTAGCAGTGCTGAGCGAGGATCAGTTCTGCCTTTTAAATCACAATGAATAAGAGAGGGGACCTGGTCCTAGATCAGCACTCCTACTCAGAGACGCTTTGTATATACCGACTGTACACACTACCGGCTTTAGACAGAGTTATTTTCATATGAGGGGGTGAATGAATGAATAACATGTTCCCATTCACAGTGGGTTTAATTAATCTAAGTGGATCCTGAGATAACGTTGGCCAGATTCAAGGTCTATTTTTCAGAATATGACTGTCCTAATTGGGTGTGGGTTTATTCTTTATTTAACTAGGTTTGTGTGTGTGTGTGTGTGCTTGGGGTTGGTGAGTTCATACACTATATATACAAAAGTATGTGGACAACCCTTCAAATTAGTAGTTTTGGCTATTTCAGCCACACCCGTTACTGACAGGTGTATAAAATCGAGCACACCGCCATGCAATCTCCATAGACAAACATTGGCAGTAGAATGGCCTTACTGAAGAGCTCAGAGACTTTCAATGTGGCACCGTCATAGGATGCCACCTTTATTATTTCCAACAAGTCAGTTCATCAAATTTCACCCCTGCTAGAGCTGCCCCGGTCAACTGTAAGTACTGTTATTGTGAAGTGGAAACGTCTAGGAACAACAACGGCTCAGCCTCGAAGTGGTAGGCCACACAAGCTCACAGCACGGGACCGCCGAGTGCTGAAGCGTGTAGCGTGTAACAATCGTCTGTCCTCGGTTGCAACACTCACTATCGAGTTCTAAACTGCCTCTGGAAGCAACGTCAGCACAATAACTGTTCGTTGGGAGCTTCATGAAATGGGGTTCCATGGCCAAACAGCAGCACACAAGCCCAAGATCACCATGTGCAATGCCAAGGGTCGGCTGGAGTGGCGTGAAGCTCGCCACCATTGGACTCGGGAGCAGTGGAAACGCATTCTCTGGAGTGATGAATCACGCTTCACCATCTGGCAGTCCGACGGATGATTCTGGATTTGGCGGATGCCAGGAGAACGCTACCTGCTCCAATGCATAATGCCAACTGTAAAGTTTGGTGTATGAGGAATAATGTTCTGGGGCTGTTTTTCATGGTTTGGGCTAGGCCCTTTAGTTCCAGTGAAGGGAAATCTTAACTATACCGCATACAATGACATTCTATATGATTCTGTGCTTCCAACTTTGTGGCAACAATTTGGGGAAGGCCCTTTCCTGTTTCAGCATGACAATGTTCCCGTGCACAAAGCGAGGTCCATACAGAAATGGTTTGTTGAGATCGGTGTGGAAGAACTTGACTGGCCTGCACAGAGCCCTGACCTCAACACCATCGAACACCTTTGGGATAAATTGGAATGCCAACTGCGAGCCAGGCCTAATCACCCATCATCAGTGCCCAACCTCTCAAGTCCCCGCAGCAATGTTCCAACATCTAGTGGAAAGCCTTCCCAAAATGTGGAGGCTGTTATAGCAGATAAGGGGGGACCAACTCCATATTAATGCCCATGATTTTGGAATGAGATGTTCGACGAGCAGGTGTCCACATACTTTTGGTCATGGAGTGTAAATTGGGTTTTACAGCGACCAGACAGACAGTCAGACAGACAGTGTTGATGCAAACATGCTAATTGAATCTCTCTCCAGCCACCTGTTGGGACATCCTGTGTTGTGTTGATGAGTCCTGGGAAAATGTAATATGTGATCTAAAGCACCGCGCCACTTCTTCAGACACCTCCACTCCTGGGTCGGTGACAATTTGCTTGCGGCGCTTGGTGTGAGTATCAAGTTCAATTTAAAGTAACAGTCCAGTGTTACCAGATTTCCAATAAATATGACCTATAATTAATTACATTATGAGTGAAATAGTTTTCCTTCCAAAAATGGGTAATTAAGTATGTTAAAAGGCAGCTTTTCTGTGATGGAATGGTGTGGGCGTACCCCAACAACAGAATGGTGTGGGCGTATACCGGTCATTAAAAAATATTCATGCGAGTAGACCGCTGAATGGCCAGCTCATCCTCCTCAGGAGGATGACATCATCCTCTATGAATAAATAGCAAGCATTTTTGAAACGGTCAATTTGAGATACAAGATGGAGGTGGGGGTTTTAAAGGTTTTTTATTCAATTTATGCTTTGGTCACGAATACGAATATAGGATGAGTCAACAATATTACTTGGGTATGAGTTAACAGAATATTAACTTTTAAAAGTGAGTTTTTCACTGATCAGTTACTTTAACCTGCTGCTATTGTCTAGAGTCTCTCTCTCCTCTCCCATTCTGTTTGTTATTCCTGTCTAGTTTTGGCCCAAATACCTGCCTGAGGCGATAAGAGCACAGGTGGATGTCTGAGCTGTGTGTTTGTGTGTTTGTTTGTTTGTTTGTGTGTGTGTGTGTGTGTGTGTGTGTGTGTGTGTGTGTGTGCTATGAGCCTATTCATCTCACAGATCAGGGTTAAGCATGTGTGTGTAAGTTAATCTACTGGGGAGCAGGTAGCAGACCGATTATTGGCTGTGTGATAACACACCAGCACCAGGATAACTGGGATTGCTGGCACTGTGCTAAACAGACAACAAGAACACACTACTTTTGTCACTCAATAAGCCTTTGATACAGTCATACAAACGCGATAATCTTGTTCCATACTCAAACAGTATATGAATTGTGTTTGATGTTTTAATGTTTGAATAGTTCAATGTCAACTTGTCATTCAATCAAATGTATCAGTAGTTGTCACAAAGGCTGGGTTAACACAGGTAGCCCAATTGTGATATTTTGCCAATAATTGGTCTTTTGGCCAATCAGATCAAATCTTGTGCCTATAATTGGGGGAAAAGATCAGAATCGGGCTGCATGTGTAAATGCAGCCAAAGTGTTTTTACTTGTTCATTGCTTTCATGTGGATTGCACCTAGCCTGGTCTCAGATGTTTGTGCAAACATTTCAAACATGGCATTACAAGGAATTTGACATGACAGCACAAACAGATCTGGGTCCAGGCTAGGTTGCACCCTGACCTGTGCTTTGTCTATGATTTCCACACTACACTAGCCTCTTATCTTTACTGTATGAACATATATTTATTTAGGCTGGCATTTGTGATGAGAACATGACTGCGTCCCAAATGGCACCCTATTCCCTATGTAGTGCATTACTTTATAGGGAATACCGTGCATTTGGGACACAGATCATGTCCTCATCTGGTTAAGTAAATAAATGTCTCCTGTCTATTTCAGATCACAGCCTGACAGAGAGGTAAACACCATGCATGGGACTAACAGCATGGACTGTGTGGGAGAAGATTCCATCACCTGTTCTATCGATCTCCTCGCGGTCAGCAGTATCGTCGTGGTAACAGTCAACGTGTCCAACACCACAGCAGGTCCCCCGGTGATTCTCATCGTCCCTCCGCGTCTCGGTAAGGAGTGGTAAATACATCTGATCCCTCTACCCTCTTGTCTGAAGATGATAGAGGATGTTAATTGCTTTAATGGCCAGGTGGCTTATATATCTGGACCTCATAATCAGAGGCTAATGGATATTAGTTAAAGGAATAATCCTGTCCCAAAAAATGTGTTTCATTAGTCCACTGTTGATACAGTCCCAAAATGTTTCGCTTGTCAGCAATCAAGTTTTCAAGATATAGAACTTACAAAAAGCTAATTGTGATGCATCATCAAGTGACAATTTGCTTTAGTTTTTGATAGTTTTTTGTGTTGATTATTCCTTTAACCTTTTCACGCGTGAGTTCCAAATATCTCTAACGGTCGCCCCAGAGTGAGTTTTTTAATGAGCATGTCAGAATGCACCCACTGTTCCAAAATGTGATTGTTACGCAACAGGACAGATAACCTGCACTGCCCACAAACCAAGACACACGCTGCCTGCTAGTTATTTATAGGCTGTATTTCAACTTGTCAATTTAAAATTATTTTCTTAGAAGTTGTATTTTCTAACAACAGTTTTAATTGATGTGTGTTCATTAATTCACATAGAAGTAGCTCATTTCATTGTTGCAGACAATTTATGTTTGAGGCTTTACTGAACCGGACAAACTTCTCTCTTCGAGGAGAGCCCAAGCATGTCTTCACCAATGTTTCCCCAGATCAAGTATGCAGACATTTGCGCAGTCTTGCACAAACTTTTTCCCTCTGGCACATTTTCTGTCTTGCGCTCGCATTGCCTTCATTGTTGTTTTCCTTACAAATAATAACTTTGGACATGTGTACTTCCCTATAAAAGTAAGTGCCTTATTTTCTGTATATCGTGTTGTCGTTTCTACTTTATCATACCGTATGTATGTATGTGTGTATGGAGCATAATGTATTTACTGTTTTATTCACGTTTTCAAGTACTGGTGACAAATCATGCATTCCGATTTTTAGATTGTAATGGACACATATGATGTGTGTAAAATACTTTTTGGAGGTTGTACTGATTATGATCAGCTAATGCTAAGCTATTTGCCAGCTATTTGTGTTGACATTATACAATGCATTATGGGTGTCACATAAACGTCTGTCAGACCAAAGATATTATAACAAATGAGGTGAGGGATGATACACTCATCTTTCAAGTGTGAATGATAGTAGACGACACACCCCCTTCAACATGCTGTCACGATCGTTAGAGTGAGTGGACCAAGGCGCAGCGTGATGAACGAACATGCTTCTTTTATTTAATGAATGCACGAACAACAAAACAACAAACGATAACGTGACGTCCTATGTGACAACCAAAAGGAAACAAACCAACTGGAACACACCGAAAGGAACAAGATCCCACAACAATTGTGGGAAAACAGCCTGTATAAATATGGCTCCCAATCAGAGACAACCAGCAACAGCTGACACTCGTTGCCTCTGATTGGGAACCACTCTGGCCAACACAGAAATACAAAACTAGACTCCCGACATAGAACAACAACACATAGAATAAACACACCCTGGCTCAACATATAGAGTCCCAGAGCCAGGGTGTGACACATGCATACTGCAAACAGACCAAACTCATGGCAGCGCACACAAACTACCCATTGATTTTTAGAAAGTGTTTTACTCAATTATTTAGATCAATGGTGAGCTCACCCGTGACGTGATACATTTTAAATAGTAATTTCTATTAGCTAATTCATATTATGGTTTCTGTCAACTGAAAGTTAGCTAAATATGACAGCTTGTGTTAGGTCACTATTTTCTCAGTAAGTGCTAGGACTAATGTAGCCTACAGTTTCCGGTTTGGATGATTGTGTTATGCTGTCGCCACTTCTGTGAATATCTGAACATTGCATCCAAAAATAAACTGGTCACATTCAGGACATAACATTGTAAGGACTGTGCTTGTGAAAATTGCGTCAATCGATTCTGGACGTTCTAAATAAGCGCTCTAATCACACCAGTTTGAGCGTACACTGCAGGGACCACTGTGGAATGATCATACCCCTGTGTTGGTACGCCTCCAAGGTTAAAGCGCAACTGAAGGCAATAAAAAACGTATCTGGTAGAAAGCGCCCTATGTGGCATCGATATTAGTCAGAAACATTTATTCTGGTGTCAAAATGTACTACAAAGTGTAAATAGGATAATTTTGTTCATAAAACTGTCCAAAACAGAGTTTTGTAAGTGAATTTGTCATGACTTACTTGAGGGTTGGGTTTTGATTTTGACAATGCTCACTTGCCCACTAACACAGCATACACAGTTGGGGTGATTGCGCTCTAACCAATCATACCACAGAACACAGAGACAGTGAGACAGACCTGCCCATCAGCACAGTGGATCTGACTTTGTTTACATAAGACAACACATTGTAAAAATATGCACTTCAGAAATAGTACACCCAACACCTTTGCTATATGTTAAATTGCGCGACTAAAACCTGAAATTAATTACACATTACTTGAGTTATCTTAGATTCATTCTGACTATTTTTAGGAAGTAATACTGGCTTTGTTCCTATGGTGTCTCATGCGGGACAAACATCAGTAACTGGCACATCAAACCACATCCCCAAGACTGAAATTCAATTTTTCTTAACGAGCAACAGAGAAACACATGGAATCTGTTCGTTCAGTCGCTCTTTAACTTTATGCCAAGTACCAGCGTGCTGCCTGGCAGGCTGGCACTGTTTATTATGTAGGCTAACGGTATCTAGGGAGCCATTTGGACCATAATGAAACTAGGGAGTTATTGACTAAGGGTTAAAGACCAGTGAGGATGACCAGTGAGGATGATTATTAATGTAATAATAAGAGATATCTTTCATAGGAATTATGAGAAAGTTGTAGATATGTTGTAGATACAAAGACCTTTATATAATCACACACAGAGTTTGCAGAAGAGGATGCGTCTACTGACTTTAGGAGCGCAGAGCTTATATAATGTGTGTACAGTGTAGTGACTGTAGTGGGCAGCTTCAGTAGGTCTTATAGCAGCGTCCCTTTGGGAATTCCAGGCAGGCTGAGGTTAGTGTTTACTGTGATCCCAGAAACCATGGTGATGAGCTGGAGATCTCTCCAGTGATGGGACACACATGCTGTGTTTGCACAATCAGAGCTCTTTGTGGCATTATTGGCGAATGGAACATTGTTTAGATACATTTTTTGTAACTATTATCCACATACTACAGTACATGAAGAGGATGCATACACTGAGTGTACAAAATATTAAGAACACCTGCTCTTTCCATGACATAGACTGAGCAGGTGCATCCAGGTGAAAGCTATGTCCATTATTGATTTCACTTCCACTTCAATCAGTGTAGATGAAGGGGAGGAGACAGGTTAAGAAGGATTTTTAAGCCTTGAGACAATTGAGACATGGATTGTGTATGCGTGCCATTCACAGGGTGAATGGGCAAGACAAAAGATTTAAGTGCCTTTAAACGGGGTATGGTGGTAGGTGCCAGGCATACCCGGTTTGTGTCAAGAACTGCAACGCTGCTCAACAGTTTCCCGTGTGTATCAAGAATGGTCCACCCCCCAAAGGACATTCAGCCAACTTCACACATCTGTGGGAAGCATTGGAGTCAACATGGGCCAGCATCTCTGTGGAACGCATGACACCTTGTAGAGTCCATGCCCCGACGAATTGAGGCTGTTCTGAAGGCAAAAGGGGGTGCAACTTAACCTTTTGACATGTACCAACAAACGGATGTGATCATTCTACAGTGGTCCCTGCAGCGGACGCTCAAGCCGGTGTGATTAGAATGCTTATTTAGAACGTCCAGTCTCGATTGACGCAACAGTCAGCATTTGAGCTAGCCACACTGTTTTTTCACAGAAACATTTTGCACAAACACAGTCCTTACAAAGTTATATCCTGAATGTGACGAGTTAATTCTTTTGATGCAATGTTCAGACATTCACAGAAGTAGCGACAGCATAGACAATCATCCAAACTGGAAAATGTAGGCTACATTAGTCCTAGCGCAAACTGAGGAAAGATTGACATAACAAAAGCGGTCATATTCAGATAACTCTCGGCTGACAGAAACCACAATATGAATTAATAATAGCAATTACTATTTATAATTCATCACATCATGGGTGAGCTCACCATTGATCTAAATAATTGAGTAAAACACTTTCTAGAAATCGAAAGTAATCCGACGATGGGTAGTTTGTGCTCGCTGCCATGTTTTTTCGTGTCAACCAAAGATAATAAGAGGAGACAAGATGAGTTTGGTCTGTTTGCAGTATGCATGTTGAAGGGGGTGTGTCGTCTACGATCATTCACTTCCGGAAGTTTACCCTTCACCTCATTATAACATCTTTGGTCTGACAGACGTTTACGTGACACCCAAAATGCATTGTATGATGTCAACAAACATGGCGCCACACATAGCTGGCAAATAGCTTAGCATTAGCTCAATATAATCAGTAGACCTTCAAATGAATAAAACTGTAAATACATTATGCTCCATACATACAAAACATACATACATACAAACTGTATGATAAAGTAGAAACGACAACACGATATACAGAAAATAAGGCACTTACTTTGATAGGAATGAACACATGTCCAAAGTTATTATTTGTAAGGAAAACAACAATGAAGAAAATGCGAGAGCCAGCCAGAAAATGTTCCAGGGGGAAAAAGTTTGTGCTAGACTGCGCAAATGTCTGCACACTTGATCTGGGGAAACATTGGTGAAGACATGCTTGGGCTCTCCTCGAAGAGAGAAGTTTGTCCGGCTTAGTAAAGCCTAAAACGTAAATTATCTGCAACACTGAAATGGGCTACTTCTATGTGAATTAATGAGGAGGCGGAACACACCTCAATTCAAACTGTTGTTAGAAAATAAAACTTGTTAGAAAATAATTTAAAATGTACAAGTTGAAACATAGCCAATAGATAGATTAGCAGGCAGCGTGTGTTAACTGTCCTGTTGCGTAACAATCACATTTTGGAACAGTGAGTGCATTCTGACATCACGTGCATAAAACAACTCACGCTTGGGCGACCGTTAGAGATATTTGGAACTCACATGTGAAAAGGTTAATATTAGGAAGGTGTTCCTAATGTTTTGTACACTCAGTGTATATTGCCTTATTAGTCATGTTCTCAATGATTTTGATCAGAGGTTATGGTTCCTATTAGTAGGTCTGCTATCTTACATCACAAGCAGATCATACGTAGCTACATGCATCTCAATATTTGTATAGCGCTGTTTCAAAGTTCTACGCCACAGAGAGAGCATCAAATCAAGAGAGACAGGAATAAACCGCTGGAATATCAGTAGGGCCAAATTAAGCAGCAAAGTAGGAAGCAGGAAATCCACCTGCTTATCAGCTTCAAGGAGAGTTTGCTCCCCTCACCTTTATAGGAGTAATGAATGTGCGAGCAGTATGTCAGATGTGCTGTTTTTGCTCATATAGGGTGCTATTCTGACTTGAGATTCTCGCCCCTTCACTCAAAATGTTCTATCAACGTCAATGCATGATTTATGTGAAAGTCTGAGTTGCCCGTATGTATCTACCTTGCATACAGTGCATTCGGAAAGTATTCAGACCCCTTCACCTTTCCCTCATTAATCTACACACAATACCCCATAATGACAAAGCGAAAACAGGTTTGTAGCAAATTTATATAAAAAAACTAACAACAGAAATACCTTATTTACATAAGTATTCAGACCCTTTGCTATGAGACTCGAAATTGAGCTCAGGTGCTTCCTGTTTCCATTGATCATCCTTGAGATGTTTCTACAACTTGATTGGAGTTCCACCTGTGGTAAATTCAATTGATTGGACATGATTTGGAAAGGCACACGCCTGTCTATATAAGGTCCCACAGTTGACAGTGCATGTCAGATTAAAAACCAAGCCATGAGGTCGAAGGAATTGTCAGAGACAGGATTGTGTCGAGGCACAGATCTGGGGAAGGGTACCAAAACATTTCTGCAGCATTGAAGGTCCCCAAGAACACAGTGGCCTCCATCATTCTTAAATGGAAGAAGTTTGGAACCACTAAGACTTCCTAGAGCTGGCCGCCCGGCTAAACTGAGCAATCAGGGGGAGAAGGGCCTTGGTCAGGGAGGTGACCAAGAACCCGATGGTCACTCTGAGCTCCAGAGTTCCTCTGTGGAGATGGGAGACCCTTCCAGAAGGACAACCATCTCTACAGCACTCCACCAATCAGGCCATTATGGTAGAGTGGCCAGACGGAAGCTGCTTCTCAGTAAAAGGCACATGACAGCCCGTTTGGCGTTTGCCAAACGGCACCTAAAGGACTCTCAGACCATGAATGCCAAGCGTCACGTCTGGAGGAAACCTGGCACCAACCCTACGGTGAAGCATGGTGGTGGCAGCATCATGTTGTGAGGTTGTTTTTCAGTGGCGGGGACTGGGAGACTAGTCAGGATCGAGGGAAAGGTGAATGGAGCAAAGTACAGAGAGATCCTTGATGAAAACCTAATCCAGAGTACTCAGGACCTCAGACTGGGGCGAAGGTTCACCTTCCAACAGGAAAACAACCCTAAGCACACAGCCAAGACAACGCAGCAATGGCTTCGGGACAAGTATCTGAATGTCCTTGAGTGGCCCAGCCAGATACCGAACTTGAACCTGATCGGACATCTCTGGAGAGACCTGAAAATAGCTTTGTAGCGATGCTCCCCATCCAACCTGACAGAACTCTGCAGAGAAGAATGGGAGAAACTCCCCAAATACAGGTGTGCCAAGCTTGAAGCGTCATACCCAAGAAGAATTGAGGCTGTAATCGATGCCAAAGGTGCTTCAACAAAGTACTGAGTAAAGGGTCTGAATACTTTGATATTTCTGTTTTTTATTTGTAATAAATTGGCAAGCATTTCTAGACACCTTTTTTTGCTTTGTCATTATGGGGTATTGTGTGTAGATTGATGATGGGAAAAGACAATTTAATCAATTTTAGAATGAGGCTGTAACGTAACAAAATGTGGAAAAAGTCAAGGGGTCTGAATACTTTCCGAATGCACTTTATCTCAAGGCTGAATAGTCCCCTTAGTGTCCAACCAACATGAAGGGAATTGCCATTAATTCCCTAATCTACAGTAAAAAGTTATTTCACATTCACAGGCTGTTTATTAAGACATGAATGTCTGAGAGTGATAATGTAATTTATAATGAAACAGAAATGAAAAAAAGATAATGCTGATTACTCCATTCTCTCTTTCTGTTGGCTAGGCGGTGACATTGTCATTATGATACTCAATTATCCCCCCTGCCAACCATCATCAACTCGTCTCATAACGATGACACGTCTCGTTTCCATTTCATTTGATGGGTTACAAACAACGCCTGTGTCAAGTCAATCACTGGGATTAAACACAAACAACTCTAATGAACAAAGTAGTTTAAATACCAGGCAGAGAAATATGTTTAATTGTCAACTTAAAAGCTGTTTAAATACCAGGAAGACAGTGTTGTGTTCGAGACCACCTAAAGTGAGACCGATTCAAGACCGGGGGGGGGGGGGGGGGGGGGGAGGTGAGACTGCAAGGTTGTATTTTGAAACAAGCTTGAATAAGCTAAGTAGCCAATAGGCAGAGGGTAGAATGATTTGTCTGATTCTCTGTAATAATGGTATGGAAATAATAATGCATTTTATTTTGTAAAGTGTTTTTTTGTATCAAACAACAACATTCAGTCACCTTCTTGTCTGAAGGACAAGTGGATAAACAGGTTAATGTGGTCCTCTGTAGCTCAGCTGGTAGAGCACGGCGCTTGTAATGCCAAGGTAGTGGGTTCGATCCCCGGGACCACCCATACACAAAAAAAAAACATGTATGCACGCATGACTGTAAGTCGCTTTGGATAAAAGCGTCTGCTAAATGGCATATTATTATTATTATTATAAGCCCTGCATGTTTTTTTCAAAAGTCTCATGGAATGTAGGCCTACATTGAACACCACACATTGGCTGCTACTGTAGGCTGAACGATAGAACAGCTATTTCCATGTTAAAATGTTATAGGATGCATTTTTGTCCATTGTTTTTGATGGTAGGCCACTCTGGTAGGCCTACATTATGATCAAATAGCCACAGTAGCCTACTTGACTAACTTAAAGCTGGTACAGCCTCAGTGTTCACAGTAAACGCGCACTGGAAGTTGCCCAGAATTTACACAATGTTAAAGTTTGCGCTCAGCAAAGGTTAGAGGGAACATTGTGGAGGAGTATTGAATGGAATTACGATGATTATGTCTCATAGTTTGGAGGATGGTGATGATGCCCTTGTTAACAATCATGAATCATGATGATGATTATTTATCTAGTATGTATTGCTTGTATGTGTGTTATACAGGTAAACCAAGCCCACCACTGAACCTAACACACACCCAGACCGCAGAGGGAGAGTTGGTTCTGAGCTGGAGCAACCCACAGCCCTATGCCAGCCCTGTCCCACTGAGCCACGAGGTCCGATACGTTACCTCCCACAACACCTCTAACCCCAACTGGAAGGTAAAAACACACTGGCCTCAGAGCAAACACAACATCTAAGTACAGGTCTTACAGCAAATTCAGATACAGACAAACATTATTTATCAGAGAACAAGAGCAAACACGTTAAGGGAGAGTCTTCAGACCACTCATATTTTATTCAGTCATCACAATGGCATTTTGTATTTGTGTCAAATTCTGCATTTGCAGGTAGAATAACATCTTGTGTTTCCCTCCCCTATTCCTCTTGCTCAGCATGTGGAGGTGACTGGAGACCAGTGGGTGTCTTTGACTGGACTGAGGGCAGGTCTGCACAACATTGTACAGATCCGCTCTCACCACCCTGTTGTGCCCCACCTGTGGAGTGACTGGAGCCAGCCACACCGCATCGACCTGGAAGGTAAGACCTGCACAGAAATATCCTAAACATACAGTTAACTTATAATTGTAGTCATTTATAAGACGCTCTCATTGCTTACAGGAGCAATTAGGGTTAAGTGCCTTGTTCAAGGGCACATCAACAGATTATTCACTTAGTCGGCTCAGGGATTCGAACCAACAACCTTTCGGTTATTGGCCCAACGCTCTTAACCGCTAGGCTACCTTCCGCCATACTCCACTCACATCTACCTGCAGAGTAACACCTCTGCCTTGCCCTACTGACGTACAATAAACATACAGATATTCAGATATATTCCCCTCACATACAGTATACTGCACAGTAAAACCTCTGGCTGTACAGCAATGTACACATATGCTAAGCTTTACCGTTTGCCTTAACAAAACATCTACAGTAACTTAGAAGGTGGTTACTGGCAAGCAAAAACAAGCTTTTCTACATTCCAGATCATCTAACAGGGTTATAGGCAGTGTACATCTAGGGTTGGCTTTCCCACTGTCTTTTGTCCCGGGTTTAGTATTGAGCGTGACATGTAGGTATATGAAAGAAGATGTTTTAAATGGACAGCTACTACCTGCACTCAAGTCTATTTACCTCCCTCTACTGCTCCCGCTCGTCTATTGAAGCCTGATTGAATGTTTCTGAAATTGACACAGTAGGAGTGAGAGAGTCTGCAGGTGAGCTACTCTGGCACAAAGGCATCAACACTCGAGTCACATCTCTAGATGGTAGCTAGTTGCTTGTTATTCCAGTAAACTAAAAGTATGCTTCCCAAATGGGACCTATTCCCTACATAGTGCATTACTTTTGGTCAAAAGTAGTGCACTTTATAGGGAATAGGGTGCTATTTGTTCCAGTAAACCCACTGGGCACACACTTTTTTATTTATTATTTTATTTCACCTTTATTTAACCAGGTAAGCCAGTTGAGAACAAGTTCTCATTTACAACTGCAACCTGGCCAAGATAAAGCAAAGCAGTGCGATAAAAACAACAACACAGAGTTACATATGGGGTAAACAAAACATAAAGTCAAAAATACAACAGAAAATATATATACAGTGTGTGCGAATGTCGTAAATTATGGAGGGAAGGCAATAAATAGGCCATAGTGCAAAATAGTTACAATTTCGTATTAACACTGGAATGATAGATGTGCAAAAGATGATGTGCAAATAGAGATACTGGGGTGCAAATTAGCAAAATAAATAACAATATGGGAATGAGGTAGTTGGATGGGCTAATTACAGATGGGCTGTGCACAGGTGCATTGATCGGTAAGCTGCTCTGACAACTGACGCCTAAAGTTAGTGAGGGAGATAAGAGTCTCCAGCTTCAGAGATTTTTGCAGTTCGTTCCAGTCATTGGCAGCAGAGAACTGGAAGGAATGGCGGCCGAAGGAGGTGTTGGCTTTGGGGATGACCAGTGAGATATACCTGCTGGAGCGCAGACTACGGATGGGTGTTGCTATGGTGACCAGTTAGCTAAGATAAGACGGGGATTTGCCTAGCAGTGATTTATAGATGACCTGGAGCCAGTGGGTTTGGCGACGAATATGTAGTGAGGACCAGCCAACAAGAGTGTACAGGTCACAATGGTGGGTAGTTGTCAGGGTATCTGATGCGGATGTGGTGCGGAATCAAGTGCAGGACACAGGAGCTAAGTCAAACCAGTCTTTACTTGAAAAGACAAAAGAACAAACGGGTCTAACCAACCCGGAGGCGAACAATACGCAACAGTGCGTAAAACACAAAACCGACTGCGCACGAAAACAACAGTGCGACGGTACACGCTAGTGACTGGCAAAAAGTGAACAGCACCAACAGACAGGTGAAACCAATTACACACAACACATGACAGAAACAACGAGAACTTATAGGACACATAATCAACACCAAACATGAACAGGTGTACCAAACAGACCAAACCAAACAAACATCGAAAACAAAGAACGGCGGCAGCTAGTACTCCGGAGACGACGACCGCCGAAGCCTGCCCGAACAAGGAGGAGGAGCAGCCTCGGCCGAAACCGTGACAGTAGTATATGGGGCTTTGGTGACAAAACGGATGGCACTGTGACATACTACATCCAATTTGCTGAGTATAGTGTTGGAGGCTATTTTGTAAATGACATCGCCGAAGTCAAGGATCGGTAGGATAGTCAGTTTTGCGAGGGCATGTTTGGCAGCATGAGTGAAGGAAGCTTTGTTGCGAAATAGGAAGCCGATTCTAGATCTAACTTTTGATTGGAGATGCTTAATGTGAGTCTGGAAGGAGAGTTTACAGTCTAACCAGACACCTAGGTATTTGTAGTTGTCCACATACTCTAGGTCAGAGATTCTAGTCGGGTGGGCGGGTGCAAGCAGCGTTCGGTTGAAGAGCATGCATTTAGTTTTACTAGTGTTTAAGAGCAGTTGGAGGCTACGGAAGGAGTGTTGTATGGCGTTGAAGCTCGTTTGGAGGTTTGTTAACACAGTGTCCAATGAAGGGCCAGATGTATACAAAATGGTGTTGTCCGCATAGAGGTGGATCCGAGCGTCACCAGCAGCAAGAGCAACATCATTGATATACACAGAGAATAGAGTCGGCCCGAGAATTGAACCCTGTGGCACCCCCATAGAGACTGCCAGAGGTCCAGACAACAGGCCCTCCGATTTGACACATTGAACTCTATCTGAGAAGTAGTTGGTGAACCAGGCGAGGCAGTCATTTGAGAAACCAAGGCTATTTAGTCTGCCAATAAGAATGCGGTGGTTGACAGAGTCGAAATCCTTGGCCAGGTCGATGAAGACGGCTGCGCAGTACTGTCTTTTATCGATTGCGGTTATAATATCGTTTAGGACCTTGAGCGTGGCTAAGGTGCACCCATGACCAGCTCGGAAAGCGGATTGCATAGCGGAGAAGGTACGGTGGGATTCGAAATGGTCGGTGATCTGTTTGTAACTTGGCTTTCAAAAAGTTTCGAAAGGCAGGGCAGGATGGATATAGGTCTATAACAGTTTGGATCTAGAGTGTCACTTGGTTGAAATCAACATTGTTTCCACGTCATTTCAATAAAATTACGTTGAACCAACGTGGAATAGAAGTTCAATTGATGTCTGTGCCTGTGAGAACTAAAACAGAATGAGTTATATCTTCTTCGTCCCTTCAAAGTTTTGTTATTTTGGTGATACAGTGGCATTTGTTTTAGAGAGAGTCGTGGAGGACAAATGTCTCATCAATTGTCTTGTGTGTGTGTTTGGTGTAGTGTGGTGCGGTGCGGTGTGTGATTCAACTATTGACCTCTATTATCTCCAAGGGGAGATAGGGTGCAATACCTGAACACCAACACAAACCAATTAAACTTGCTAATCTGCATATGTTATGTAGGAAGCAGAGTTGAGAGGTTAGAGGTCAGAGGTTATCTCCAGGGTCAGTGACTGTTCACCCATGATTAAAACAAAATAATAAGCCTTTTCCCTAGCACACTGTCTGACAATGCACAGCACCTTTAGAGGATACTTTTTAATGAGAAGTCATAAATCATCTGTGGTTGATAGATTGTGTGGGCACGAACACACCTAGCTAAAGTATGGAGAATGGGATGGGTCTGTACCTGCTGCATACTGTACTGTTAGAGATGATGGATGACTCATAGATATGCATTGTATTTCCATGCACTCAATATACCCTGGATTACTAAGCAAACAGATTTGGTTTGTAAACGCGGGATGTTTGAACTGTGAAGTTAACGAATGAAATGTGAAATATGAGGACAAGATCAGAATGGAGCAGGGTGGAGATGAGGGAGCCAGATTGTTCTTCATCAAAGGGCTGATTAGCATTTTAGTGTAGTGTAGTCATCTATCCTCTCTCGATCTCTAGCTATTTCCCCTTTTGGAAAAAAAGGGGTGCCTTTAAAAAAAAAAGGGGAAATACCCTTTTAAAAAATTAATTTTGGATATCTTTTATCTCTTCCCCTGATTTTTCACTCTCCTTCCGCCCCTTTCTCCCTTCCCCTTTTTCCTCTCTCTCTCTCTTCTCTCTCCTCTTTCTCTTCTCCCCTCTTTCCCTCTTTTTCAATTTAATTTTGGGTTATTGGCATGGGGGAAACAATGTTACATTGCCGAAAGGGGAATAGATAATAAACAAAAAAGGGGTAAAAAAATAAAAAGCCCGTAAAAATACCTCACAAAAGGTCCAAGGGAAAGGACATTTAAAGTCTTTTATGATATATACGTGTTGTAACAATGTGCAAAGAGTTTTTAAATACAAATTTGGGAAAAAAAATAAAAAAATAATTGGGGGTTTTATTCAATGGGTTTGTTTTCACGGTTGCCTTTTTTGTGGCAACCCGGGACAAATATGCGCGTGTGGGGCCCCCTGGGTTTTTTTACCAGAGATAATTAGAAATTTTTTTAATTTAAAAAAAATTTCCCCCGGGGTTATAGATTGTTAAAAACCAAAATTTTTGGGGGAATTTAAAAATGAAGTTTTTGGAAAGTTTTAAAAAATTTTTCCGTTTTTGGGAAAAAAAAAAATTTTTTTTTAAATTTTTTTTTTCCCTATTTTTAAGGGGAAAGAGAGGGGGGTTTTTAACAAAAGGTTTAAAAAAAATTTTTTTTACCATTTTAATTTCCCCCTTACCTTTTTTAAAAATTTTCCTCATTTTCCCACTTTTTGAAATTCCTCCCCCCTTTTTTTCTTTTCCCCCCCCTTTTCCCTTTTTTTTTTTAAAAAAAAAATTTTTAAATTTTTTTGGGGGAAAAAGGGAAACCCGAAAAAAAGGGTTTGCCCCCCTTTTTTGGGTTGGGGGTTTTTTTCTTTTTTTCCCCTTTTTTCCCCCCCCTTTCCCAAGGGAAAGGGATTTTTTTCAATTTTTTCATTCCCCCGGGGAAACCCCCAAACCCCTTTAAAAAAAAAGGGGGGGGAAACAAAGGGGGGGAATAAAATTTTTTTAAATTTTTTTTAAAAAAAAATTAAAAAAATAAAAAAAAAGGGGGGGGAAAAAGTTTTTTCTTTTTTTTTGGGGGGGGAAAATGAAAATTTTTGGGGAAAGCCCCGGGGGGGGTTTTAAAAAAGGGGGGTTTTTTTTGGGTTTTTAAAAAATTTTTTTTCGGGGGGAAATGGGAAAAAGGGGGGGAAAAAGGGAGGGGGGGGGGGGGTTTTTGGGTTTTCCCCAACCCCCAAAAAATTTTTTTAAAGGGGGGGGGGGGGGCAAAGGGAAAAGGGGGGGAAGGGGGGAAAATTTTTTTTTTTCGGGGGGGGGAGGGGATTTCCCTCTTTTTTTTTTTTTTTCCTGTTTCCCTTTCCGCTCTTCCCGGTTTTTTTCTTTTCCTCCCCCTTTTTTTTTTTTTTTTTTTTTTCCCCTTCTCCTTTTTTCTCTTTCTCTCTTCTCTACTATCTCTACTATCTTCTTACAGTTTTTCCTCGATTGCTAAGACACCATTTCTTGAAGCTGCTCTCCTTTTCTTTAACTGTGAACACAAAACCCCAATTTTCAAGCTACATTACAAAACCTCAGAATCTTCTGCAAAACCAAACTTTCACCTCAAAACAGTTCAATCCTGTGCTCAAAACTGAACTATGTGTCCAAATCGTGCCCCCGAGTCAATCAAAAAAAAATAAACACTACTGAACAGTCACTAAAACACTACGTAGAAAATAGAAAACACAATGCTCAGGACATGAAGCTGGAGAAATAAATGTTTATTGTTCACTGTAGGCTAAATGCATGTTGCAAAACAAAAAAAACCTGTGCATTTAGCACTTGTACAAAAAGACAAAACAGAAATCTTGTGCATTTACATGTAGCACTTGTAAAAAACAAACAGAAATCTTATGCGTTTGCCACTTGTGTACAGTAAGCCCATGTAAAAATAAAGTACAAAAATATACAAATAAGTGCATTACTCAGCCACAGCCATCATGTCTCCGTACTGGGTCAGGCCACAGGACTTCATCCACATCACAGGCCACATTTTGTCTGGCCAGGCAACGGGGGAAAAAACCCCCTGGCATGCCGTATCCAGGCTTGGCATGCCTCCACACCTATGTCACCACAGGCAAGTCCCATGGCTTGCAGGAGATTTACCCTGGTGTAAGGTTGGCGTTCATATACCTTCCACCGCCATGAGGAGAAGAATTCCTCAATGGGGTTTAGGAAAGGGGAGTACGGTGGAAGGCAAAGATTGATAAAACCTTGGTTCATATTGTACCACTCTCTAACCTGGAGGGCTCTGTGAAAACTCACATTGTCCCAAACAACAACATAGATGGGATGCTCATCCTGCTGCCCTAACAAAGCATATCGCATGTGATTGAGGAAAATGAGAAGCTGGTGAGTGTTGTAGGGCCCCAGGTTGGCATGATGGTGGACAACCCCATGATTGCTGATGGCAGCACATAATGTGACATTGCCACCACGCTGCCCAGGAACACCAACAATGGCCCGATGGCCAATCACATTACGGCCTCTCCTTCTCCTTTTGGTGAGATTAAACCCAGCTTCATCCATGTAGATGTATTGATGGGGTCTTTCCATTGCATCCAGTTGAAAAACCCTCTGTAGAAATAGATATAGTTTTGTAAGTGATACGGAAAAAGTGATTTAGGCCACTACAGTAAATCACTACTTAGAGTAATCAACATTGAATGTGTCTGGATATATGCCAACCTGTACATACTAGAATCTTTGCTCTTTGACTCTGTCTGAGTTGCGATCAAAGGGCACTCTGTATAGCTGTTTCATGCGCAGTCTGTTGCGCTTGAGGACACGATCAACAGTAGAGAGGCTGACACTGTTGATACCCTCAAAATGTAAATGGTCCTCAATGATCTTCTGCTGAATTTCGCTCAGTTTGATGGCATTGTTCTCACGGACCATATCAACAATTAGGGTCTCTTGGTGTGGGGAGAACATACCTGTCCTCCCACCCCCATGTGGCAGTCTTTCAATTCTACAAAAAGAGAACATGGACTTACAAAAAATATACATGGAATACTAGGCCTACAAACAGTTAGACCAACCCTCCATTACAATACTACAGTACATTGGTACAGTGATGTACTGAAACATATATTTACTTACAGTATACTGTGGTACAGTATATAGTATGTCATACAGTAATTGCTGTCAACATTTACATACTGTACTATAATGTCAAAAAAAGGTAATTACCTGTTCTCTTCTCTAAATCTTCGGATTATGGTGGACACAGTGAATCTACTGATGTTTGGTTGTACCCTTTGTCCAGCCTCCCTCATGCTCATACCATGGACAAGAACATGGTCAATCACAGTAGCTCTGATTTCATCAGATATTACTGTTCTTTGTCTTCGCTGACCACCTCGACCACCTCGACCTCCTCTCACACGAACTCTTCCTCTCAGATTTCTATCCATTGTAGGGCCTCACAAACCAGTGCTCTCTGAACTGGCTTACTGTATATGTTCCCTCACATCATTAGCCACAAGTGTGATCAATTTTGAGTTGTTGTGTTCAAGTGGTGACACCTGTGCTCTAATTGTGTTTGACTTTTGTCACCTGTGCTCACCATTATGCAGCATGGGTGCATCACAATGAAAATGTGTTGGCAAGTTATGTCTAAACAGGTGAAAAGTGCTTATGGTTTTGCCAAAAGAGTGATTGATTCAATCAGTGGGTTCAGGCAACTGAGCATTTGGTTCAGACAATAGGGTTTAGTGTTTTAGCAATTGAGAAAAACTGTAATTCTGCGTTGTTGATAAAGGACATGTCAGTAAGCATGTTGTTTACGAAGCATGTGACAAATCAAATTTTATTTTATTTCTCATCCTATCTTTTATTACTGAGGTCCCATTGCTCTGAGGAAGACATTCAGCTAGTCACCCAGGCTATGGCCCCTTAGCTTTCAGTCAATATATTATGTCTGATTTGATGTACCTCGTGGATGAATAGCAAATCTTTTAAACTGGAAGCAAGTTTGTCTTCATACTTCCAGAAACATTTTTACTTCATCTGTTCTTTCAGACTATGTCTGGAGGTTGGGTACTGCTGCATGAAATTGAGTTTTTCAGGTTACTTTAAAAAAGAAACATTTGACATTTTTTTCTTAGCTTGGTCCGTTGATAACTATAAAAAAATAATTAGTAACTAATTAGAAGGTTGCTGCATGAAACAACAACAAATTTAGACAACTCAGTCAGGGTATCAAATCAATCACAATGCTCTCGCAGAAAAATACTTCAACTGTCAACTGTGAGTCAGGTGATCCTGCTTTTCTGACTGAATTCACTTTGCTTGGTTTCAGATGTGACTTATCTCCCTGAGAGAGTGGTGGCCAGCCTTGGAGATAGTGTGACTGTGTACTGCGTGTTCAACGACCGCAGGGTGAACGCCAGCACGGCGGTCTGGTTTCTGAACCTTGACCGTCCTTCCCCAGAGCCAGTACACTGCTGTCAACGACCGTGTCAGTAAAATAACGGTTCAACCGTCTGAGCAGAAGCTGTACGACATCCTGCATTGCTGCCAGTCTTCAGGGGAGAAGTATAGCTGTAACTACCGCTACGCAACGATATACATTAAAGGTGAGCTGTTATGGATGGATGGATGGATGGATGGGATGGATGGATGGATGGATGGATGGATGGATGGATGGATAGGTGGATGGGTGGGTGGATTAGGTACTGTAGGGTTGGGATGGGAGAATGTTTAGGGTTAGACTTCAGGAAAATGATGGGTCATGGGATTAAGGGATTAACAGTAATATATACAGTGAGGGAAAAAAGTATTTGATCCCCTGCTGATTTTGTACGTTTGCCCACTGACAAAGACATGATCAGTCTATAATTTTAATGGTAGGTTTATTTGAACAGTGAGAGACAGAATAACAACAAAATAATCCAGAAAAACGCATGTCAAAAATGTTATAAATTGATTTGCATTTTAATGAGGGAAATAAGTATTTGACCCCCTCTCAATCAGAAAGATGTCTGGCTCCCAGGTGTCTTTTATACAGGTAACGAGCTGAGATTAGGAGCACACACTTAAAGGGAGTGCTCCTAATCTCAGTTTGTTACCTGTATAAAAGACACCTGTCCACAGAAGCAATCAATCAATCAGATTCCAAACTCTCCACCATGGCCAAGACAAAGAGCTCTCCAAGGATGTCAGGGACAAGATTGTAGACCTACACAAGGCTGGAATGGGCTACAAGACCATCGCCAAGCAGCTTGGTGAGAAGGGGACAACAGTTGGTGCGATTATTCGCAAATGGAAGAAACACAAAAGAACTGTCAATCTCCCTCGGCCTGGGGCTCCATGCAAGATCTCACCTCGTGGAGTTGCAATGATCATGAGAACGGTGAGGAATCAGCCCAGAACTACACGGGAGGATCTTGTCAATGATCTCAAGGAAGCTGGGACCATAGTCACCAAGAAAACAATTGGTAACACACTACGCCGTGAAGGAGTGAAATCCTGCAGCGTCCGCAAGGTCCCCCTGCTCAAGAAAGCACATATACATGCCCGTCTGAAGTTTACCAATGAACATCTGAATGATTCAGAGGAGAACTGGGTGAAAGTGTTGTGGTCAGATGAGACCAAAATGGAGCTCTTTGGCATCAACTCATCTCGCCGTGTTTGGAGGAGGAGGAATGCTGCCTATGACCCCAAGAACACCATCCCCACCGTCAAACATGGAGGTGGAAACATTATGCTTTGGGGGTGTTTTTCTGCTAAGGGGACAGGACAACTTCAAAGGGACGATGGACGGGGCCATGTACCGTCAAATCTTGGGTGAGAATCTCCTTCCCTCAGCCATGTCATTGAAAATGGGTCGTGGATGGGTATTCCAGCATGACAATGACCGAAAAAACACAGCCAAGGCAACAAAGGAGTGGCTCAAGAAGAAGCACATTAAGGTCCTGGAGTGGCCTAGCCAGTCTCCAGACCTTAATCCCATAGAAAGTCTGTGGAGGGAGCTGAAGGTCGAGTTGCCAAACGTCAGCCTCGAAAACGTAATGACTTGGAGAAGATCTGCAAAGAGGAGTGGGACAAAATCCCTCCTGAGATGTGTGCAAACCAGGTGGCCAACTACAAGAAACGTCTGACCTCTGTGATTGCCAACAAGGGTTTTGCCACCAAGTACTATGTCATGTTTTGCAGAGGGGTCAAATACTTATTTCCCTCATTACAACGCAAATCAATTCATAACATTTTTGACATGCGTTTTTCTGGATGTTTTTGTTGTTATTCTGTCTCTCACTGTTCAAATAAACCTACCATTAAAATGATAGACTGATCATTTCTTTGTCAGTGGGCAAACGTATAAAATCAGCAGGGGATCAAAAACATTTTTCCCTCACTGTATATATATATATTCATGTGTTTGTTATAACCCCTGTCTGTCTGTCAATGGACTGTGGTCATGTTTCAGGCTCAAGGTTCATATTACAGGTCAGGGTAAGGGTTTCACTCTATTTGTGTCTGTGTTTCAGATCCATTCATAGATATCAGCTGTGTAACCAATGGGGATCTGGACAGCATGACCTGTAGGTGGAACAACATCCAAACCGAAATCAACTTCCTGTCCAGGTCAATACTACTTTTACTTACAGCATTGGACAACCTACACAAACACCTGTATACGTGTACATACACCAGTAAAACCTGCACATACACTTCAACTGTATAGTTAAAGTGACGGTTGGTTATCTTTATGAGTCCAATCAATCTATTAAGAGTCTTTGAAATACAAGCCCAGCATGGAATACAGCAGGACATTACTTTTGACTCGTTGTAAAAAATGTTGACACCTTTTCAGTGTCTCTGCTTGGTGTCTCTGTGCTGTATTCCTAAGGAATATGGAACGGGAACTGGTTCAAGATCGTAGAACAATACAGAAGGGATTTAGACCCCTCAAGCAAAACTCAAATGACTGTGTGTAATTATTAGTGAATTGCCACAATTTCAAAATTAAGGCAGTGAAAGGAAGTTTAGACTTGTTGCATAACAGAGATCTGTGGCATCATAGGCCAAACATACCCATAAGGAGATAGGGTGTTTTCACCCTGAAATTCTTTGTGTTTGTGTGTGTGTGTTTTTTTACTATTCTTGTGGATACCAGAAGTCCTCACAAGGATAGTAAAACAATGAACATTCGGAGAAATGGGGACATTTCGCCAGTCCCCAAAAGGAATAAGGCTATTTTAGGGTTAGGGTTAGAATTAGGGTTAGGAGTTAGGGTTACCGCGCCAGCGCTCAACATCCTTTCCCCGCTCTGCTAAGAATCACTCAGCGCTCACAGAAAAAAAAAGCAGCTCCAAATTCGCTCCATTCATTTAACAAACAGCCCATCAGCTATCGTAAGAAGCTTCAACATTTCATAAACGTGTCGTAGGCTATTAAACAAATACCTACCTGATGATATGCGGCCACTGTGTTAAAAAACAAAATGGCTTTTTCTCTAATCTATTGATGATCATATACTTCAGTTGTAAGTGACTCTGTTGCGCTCACATTTTACAGTTGATAGTCAACTTAAGCACTGTTACAAACTTAGGCTCCTTTTTTTTTTTTTTTTACGATAGCCTATATAGAAATCAAAATGTGTCCGGTGCTGCTGCATGGGCTTATTGGTGGTCTTGCCATCAATTACACATGCTGTGTGACCTATTTCTTGGTCGACTCATATCAACATCTCTGCGCATTAGTGGTGTGGTAGGCTAAATAAATACAACAGAATAGGCCTAATTAAAAGAACTATGATGAAGGGAATGAAAAATGCTGGGCAGACGATGCCCAGAGCTCGTGGCTGAGTGGTACCGGAGCAAAATTGGAGTGGGAGAGAAGGCTGACGCTCCACGATCCAAATCACACACGCTCCGCTCCTCGCTCCACATCCTCTGTTTGGGGTTAAGGTTAGGTTAAGGGTTATGGTTCGGGGTTAGGGAAAATAGGATTTTGAATGGGAATCAATTGTTTGGTCCCCACAAGGAGAGTAAAACAAATGTGTGTGTGTGTGTGTGTGTGTGTGTGTGTGCGTGTCTGTTTATATTCGCCAGGGTGGCCGACCTATCCTGTGATGTCATGGAGGAGGCGGAGGAGGTGGGCGGGGCGGTGAGTGTTTTCAGGCAGGTGGTGTGTGTATCCAGCAGATCTAGAGAAGTGAAGAGCTGCACTCTGCAGCCAATCAGAGTGACTTCCTGCTACAAGCTGTGGATGGAGGCCAAGACAGACAATGGCACGAGGTCACATCCTGTCTACATCACACCTATGGACCACGGTGAGTTAGGACATGTGCAGGATAGGAGTTCCAAGTTTCAAGTTTATTCGCCACATGCACAGGATGCAACAGGTGTAAAACAGTACAGTGAAATGTTTACCTTGAGAGCTCTTTCACAACAATGCAGTGATAGTAATAATAATATAGCTAATAATAGAAAATAGAATAAAATAAAATAACACACAAGAAGTACGATAAAGGTTGAAGAAACCTGCTCTCAATGGTGCAGCTGTAAAAGTTCCTGAGGATCTGAGGGGCCATGCCAAATCGTTTCAGACTCCATGTGTTGTTTTTAAAAAGTATGTACTGCGAGTATGTTTTTTTTTTACTGGCAAATAAAATCAATCAAGTCGGCAGTGATGTGGACACAGAGGAACTTGAAACTCTTGACCCTCTCCACTGTGGCCCCGTCGATGTGGATGAGAGTGTGCACCCCCCTGTTTCCTGTTGTCCACGATCAGATTCTTGGTCTTGCTGACGTTGAGGAAGAGGTTGTTGTCCTGGCACTACACTGCCAGGTCTCTGACCTCCTCCCTATAGGCTGTCTCATCGCCATTGGTGATCAGGCCTACCACTGTTGTGTTGTCAGCAAACTTGATGATGGAGTTGGAGTCGTGCGTGGCCATACAGTTGTGGGTAAACAGGGAGTACAGGAGGGGGCAAAGCGCACACCACTGGGGGGCTCCCCGTGTTGAGGGTCAGTGTGGCAGACGTGTTGTTGCCTACTCTCACCACCTGGGGTCGGCCTGTCAGGAAGTCCAGGATCCAGTTGCAGAGGGAGGCATTCAATCCCAGGGTCCCAAGCTTGAATACCGTCCGGCCTGTAGCCTTGTGAGTGTTGACCAGATTAAAAGCCTTACTCACGCCGGAGAGCAAGATCATCCAGTCCTCTGGGACGGCAGGGGCCCTCATGCACGGCTCTGTGTTTTTGTCTAAGCGTGCATAAAATGCATTGAGTTTGCCTGGTAGAGAGGCATCGTTGGGCAGATCACGGCTAGTCTTCCTTTGTAATCCATAATGGTTGTACCCCCTGACGTGTGGAGCGTCGGAGCCGGTGTAATAGGATTTAATCTTGTTCCTATATTGTCCTTTTGCCTGTTTGATGGTGCTGCGAAGGTTGTAGCGGGACTTCTTGTACGCATTCGTGTCCTCAGCCGAAGTCTCAGGGTTGGCTGCGATATCCCTGTGTGTGGTAGCTCTGTCCTTTAACTTAGCGCGCACCTTGGTGTTAATCCATGGCTTTTTGATTGGGGAAGCCTTCCTATTTCACAACAAAGCCTCCTTCACTCATGCTGCCAAACATGCCCTCGTAAAACTGACTATCCTACCGATCCTTGACTTCGGCGATGTCATTTACAAAATAGCCTCCAACACTCTACTCAGCAAATTGGATGTAGTCTATCACAGTGCCATCCGTTTTGTCACCAAAGCCCCATATACTACCCACCACTGTGACCTGTACGCTCTTGTTGGCTGGTCCTCACTACATATAATCCCCGCATAGCAACACCCACCCGTAGTATGCCCTCCAGCAGGTATATCTCACTGGTCATCCCCAAAGCCAACACCTCCTTTGGCCGCCATTCCTTCTAGTTCTCTGCTGCCAATGACTGGAACAAATTGCAAAAATCTCTGAAGCTGGAGACTCTTATCTCCCTCACTAACTTTAAGCATCAGTTGTCAGAGCACCTTACCGATCACTGCACCTGTACACAGCCCATCTGAAATTAGCCCACCCAACTACCTCATCCCCATATTGTTATTTATTTTGCTCATTTGCACACCAGTATCTCTATTTGCACATCATCTCTTGCACATCTATCATTCCAGTGTTAATACTAATTGTAATTATTTTGCACTATGGCCTATTTATTGCCTTACCTCCATAACTTGCTACATTTGAACACACTGTATATATATTTTCTGTTGTATTTTTGACTTTATGTTTTGTTTTACCCCATATGTAACTCTGTGTTGTTGTTTTTATCGCACTGCTTTGCTTTATCTTGGCCAGGTCGCAGTTGTAAATGAGAACTTGTTCTCAACTGGCTTACCTGGTTAAATAAAGGTTAAATAAATACAATTTAAAAAAAAAAAACTCCACTGTGGAGACAACTTTGGCGATGCATTTCCTGATGAAGGTGGTGACGGAGGGGGTTAGCTCGTTGGTGCTATAGGCAGAGTCCCGGAGCATATTCCAGTCAGCACTAGCAAATCAGTTCTGCAGCATAGCCTCCGTTTCGGAGGACCATTTCTCTACAGAGAAGTCACAGTTACTTACTGTTTAAGCTTATGTTTGTAAATAGGAAGCAGGAGTATAGAGTCATGATCTGATTTCCCGAAGGGGGTGACGAGGGAGGGCCTTGTATGCTTGCTTGTGGATTGAGTAACATTAGTCTAGGACTTTATCTGCCCTAGTGGTGAAAGAGACGTGTTGATAGAAGTTGGGCATCACGTGTCTTAGTGATGCAGAATTAAAATAATCGGCAACAAGAAAAGCAGCCTCCAGGTGCATGGTTTCCTACTGAAAACACTTGACGTAAATGTTTCGTACAGTTCGTCAAGTGTTTTTGTCCTGAGGTGGAGTATATACAGCAGTCATGATAACAGATGAAAACTCTCTCGGGAGGTAGAAGGGTCGGTATTTGACCATCAGGTATTCCATGATGGGTGAACAATAGGTTGAGACTTCCACTGCGGTAGAGTCTGCACACCATTTGTTGTTGATGAAGATACATACCCCTCCCCCCTCTGGATTTCCCTGAATCCAATGTCCTTTCCACTCGGTGAATGGAGAATCCATTGAGTTGGATAACCATGGAGGGTATCTTGTCCGAAAGCCATGTTTCAGAAAAACAGAGAATATTGCAGTTAAGAGAGTCCCGTTGATAGCAAATCTGCGATCGGAGGTCTTCCATCTTATTATCAAGTGACTGGCCAATAGAATGGAGGGAAGTGGTGGACGCTTTTTCCCTTAGCCTTAGTCTCACCAAGAGTCCCTCTCTCCGGCCTCTTTTTTTGCCAGTGTTTCGTCTTGGGTAGCCCAAAATTTGGTCAGAGCCTGGTAAACAAAAAGCCCAGGGTAGATGAGTCAAAGTCTAAATTTAAGCAGGAATTGAGGTTAGTAACTGCCGATCTAATGTTCAAAAGTTCTTGTCGATCATAAGAAATTCTAGTGGATACATTTAGTGCAAATTTTTTTATGATTAACGGCCAAAATAATCACAAAATAGCAAAGTTGGGTCGGAGTTCACAAGACGGAACCATACAGTACGGCGTCATCTTTAGAAGTTCTGGTCTTCTTACATTTATGTTCTTACCTGTTGTGGCTTTTAGGAACCTACAGCACCAGTATGTGTCAATAATAATAAAACCTTTTTTTTTAAACATGGATAGTGGTCGGTCTGCTTGACCATGCTAGATAATGACTGTCCTCTCCCTTCATCTCATCTCCCCCTCTAGTGAAGCCCCACCCTCCCTCGGGCCTTGAGGCAGTGAGCATGCCTAGTGGAGTCCTGAGGCTGGCATGGGTGCCCCCAGAACTGCCCCACTACGATATGCAGTACCAGGTTCGCTATGCCCTCGCCACTGACAGGGCCCATCCATTCTGGCAGGTACGTAAAACTCTGGCCATAGGGCTCTGGTCCAAAGTAATGCACTATGTAGGGGATAGGGAGAGTGTCATTTCAGATGCAGCCTTGAGCTTCTCCAGAGTGGCAGGGAGGGAGCAATGGGTGCAATCGCCTGGCATCATGAGCATCACTTGGTCGGACTAAATGAGTCTTATTTCCTATCTACTGTATCCCCTATCTCTGATCTGGTAGTGGCATTCTTGCTGGTAGTGGTAAACTCTAACATGTGGTGGCAGACTGGCAGGCAAATAGGGAGAAGCGGGGACAACCACACAGAGACTGAAGCTGTGTCTGAAATGGCACCCTATTTCTTTCACACACTTTTTACCAGAGCCCTACACTGCAGAAAGTGACATCTAAGCAAGTCTAAATATCTGCCAATAACAGCTAGTTTTCAGTTGTAGGAATAGGCCTACCTCATTTAAGAAAATGTGCCCACTTTTGCTGGGCACAAGTATTTTGGAAAGTTTTCTGCCATTTAAAATGCTCCTTCGCTTGCTCGGTCACATAACATTCATATCTATTAAGACATCTATTTCCCTAACATTCTTTTGCTTTTGAGTTGATGGATGTTTATGCCGGATATCTAAGTTCATTCACTGGAAAATATATTTTAGGAAAGGATAGGATAGCCTTTAATGTCCCTGAGGGGAAAATGTTTCAATTATCATGGGATATGTGATTTAACATGTGATTTTGAATTGGGATGTATACTGCAGGTCCTGGCTCCTCGGGCAGAGTCGTGGGCTGAGGTCCCTGAACCAGATGTATGTAGGGTGTACAATGTGCAGGTCCGCTGTATGCATATCAACAGCTCTGGGACCTGGAGTGACTGGAGCCACTCTCTATACACTACCCCTCACAACAGCAGAGGTATGTACAGTATGTCTTCATCTCATCTATGTCATTGAACCTGCATTAATACAAGTTAGTCTCATTGAGATAAAAAATCTATTTTGCAAGATAGACATGTATTGTACATACAAGTTTTGACAACATTGACAAAACGCATCAGCAATAAACTTTTGAAAGGAATTAAGCTGCCGCCCTGAAACTTATCTTATAATTGCGCCAGCACACCACAACTATCAAGTCTGACCTACTGTGTACATACAGTACATTAACACTCACAACCACAATGGATGGGTCATTTCAAACCCTTCATTATCCATGGTTTGTTGTGTGGTAAAAGCTATTTCTGACCCTGATCTAAAAGTTACCTTGCATGGTGTCTGGCTATCAGAATGTCTGTTATTGAGTGCTACAGCCAGCAATTTAATATGACTTTCTCTGATGTTAGTTCTGATAGAAAATGAAAGCCTCAGACATAGGTACATAGACACACACACAAGCATGCATGCTAGCATGCACACACACACACACACACACACACACACACACACACACACACACACACACACACACACACACACACACACACACACACAGAGCTGTAATATCTATGTTCTGTTCTTTCAGCTCCTGACCAGGGTCCTGATTTCTGGCGAGTGTTTCAGGAGGATCCAGCAAGGAACCAGACTAACGTCACTCTTCTCTTCAAGGTACAGTCCATAGCCTACAGAGAACACATTAAATATCGCACAGCATGTGGTTTAAATGTCAACATCAGAGAGAGTTACATTAATTGAAGAGGTGTATGAAGTTGCCTCCTCTCCTTTTTACTACATCATTGTTCTTAGTTTAGTCTGGAAAACCTATTCAGTTTGCTTCCCCAACACCTATCTCGTTTTGTCAGATCTGATAGTATAAGGAAGAAGCACATTGGATAATGAATCCTCATTAGAGTCTTTGATAGTCTCTAAACTCTTCCCAATAGCATTTCCCCATAGTGGAGCCAACCTACTGTGTGGAGGGCCTTGTAGTACAACACCAGGCCTCTGGGGGCATTGTGACTGAGGAGCAGATAGGCCTGGTGTCCTCCTACCGCTTTGCGTGGCGAGAGGAGGTCCACTCTGTGACGGTCAAGGCTCAGAACAGCCAGGGATACTCCACTAGGAACATCAACATGACCCTGGAGAGACACCCCAAACGTAAGGGAATGTATTTGTATGGGGTTGAATAATTGTTATACCCAATACAGAGATTACTAGCAGTCAATTAAGAGTTAGTAGTTAGAAACAGATATCTGAAAATACAATTTTCTTTGAAAAGCTTTAAGAATTGGTTGTTTGTTTTCACATTTATGTTTATTTTTTATTAGTTGGTGTTCTTGGTTCATGTCATAGAAGTCAGTTGAAATGCTAGGTGTGCTGCTATTACAGTCACCAGGGAGAGAAAATAGGCATGTTGATGTCAGTTAAAAGCCTGAGAGTGGACTAAAAGCCATTATCTCTGGCTTGGGATGTTCTCTTCCGAGGCCTAATAGCTGTTTTACTGGACTTGGAATTGATTGTAAAATGGACCTCTTCTCGGCACAGGTCTCTGTGTCACACCGGGATGTTTGTGTTATTTGTGTGTGTGTGTTCACCTGTTATTCATATTTTCATTAATAGCTAATTGGTTGAGAGGAAACCATTAACTGTGATACAGGTAGTGTTGGTACTATTAGTTTTCATATTGAAAAAAAACTACTGGTCGTGGATGGGCCCAAAATAAAAAGCTGCTGTTCAGTTTATTTTATAGTCAAGGACAGGAGGGGAACACTCTTTGTTGTGCTAATTCTCACGCATGTCAGAAGTACGAGAAAACATAGCAGAAAAAGAGTAACAGAAAATGTTAGTCACTGACAGAAAATATAAACATTTTATTTTATTTCTCTCTCTATCACTCTCTCCCCCCTTTCCCTCTCTCCCTCCCTTCCTCCCTCTCTCCAGGCCAGTGTGTGCGTTCGTTCTGTGTGTCCCGTGTGAATAGTAGCTGTGTAGTCCTGTCGTGGTCTCTGCAGCCCAACAGCAGTGTACCGTGGTCCCTGGTCGTAGAGTGGTCGGGTCAGAACCACCAGGACAGACAGGGTCAGACCACAGAGGGCAGGGAGATGTGGACCAGGGTCCCCCCTACTGACCAGGTCCTCTACCTACATGGTACGTTCTCATGTGTCTCTTTCTCTGGCTCTCTCTCTTTCACTCTCACTCTCTGTTTAAACCTCTTTCTGTTGTCAATCTTTCTGATTACTAAATTGTTCTAGAATGACCTAAATAAACCTACAAAACCACTGCAGAACAATTGATCTTGTCAAATTTTGATGAATATTTCAGTCCACTTTGAGTTCCAGTTTGAGAGATTGTTGGCTGTGAATATCTGGCGCTCTCTAGTGACAGTACATATGAATGTTTCAGTCTGATTGACTAATCTGAGCTTCTCTGTTCTCTGTTCTCTGCCTTTATTTTCCAGGTGATTTCTATGGCTCTGAGGAGTATGTGTTCACCTTGTGTCCAGTGTTTGCAGATGGAGAAGGAGAGCCAGTGTATACTAAAGGTAAGCTCTACTTTATCGCCAGGGATGAATACAACCAATATCTCTGTAAACAACAGTATGTGACATAAGGATGTTATATGTTTTTAATAAGTGTACTGTACATTGCAGCACATTGATTGATTTAAAAAATTTAAATTTTAGTCATTTAGCAGACGCTCTTATCCAGAGCGACTTACAGTTAGTGAGTGCATACATTTTGATACTGGTTGATAGCTTTACCCTTACCATGGTGTTGTCCTGTCCTCCAGTCTTTAGGGGGGCCAACGCTGGGCCTGCAGCCTACATGCTCCTGATGATCATCGCCTTCCTCGCCATCGTCCTCTTCGTCACCCTGGTCATATCCCAAAACCAGTAAGATTATATCTCATAATTGAGTGAGAGGGGAAAGGGAGAGATAGGGTAGATGAGAGAGAGGTTTTGGATTGCAGACTGAGAGGCTCCCTTCCTTGTTGTTAACTCCTATTCTGTCTGATTCCCAGCATGAAGAACATGTGGAAGGATGTTCCCAACCCCAGCAACTGTTCCTGGGCCCAGGGGATGGACTTCAGGAAGGTGAGATGGACAACAAACCTGTTTACTCAGGAACATACTCTGAAATATAATCAAACTATCTCTAAACAGCAGAGACCATAGGAACTCAACATACTGTTATGAAAAACACACCACTATTTACCAGAACACACTCTATATACAGATGTAGGATCTTAATTTGAGCTTGTTGGATACAACAGGAAAATAATACTGCAGCAACAGGAAATGTTATGTGAATTATAATTATTGGAGACTTTTGTAGGGGTTGATACATTTTTTTGTAAGGGAAAATCAAGTCTGAAATGTCAAAGTGGAAATTACAAACTTCAGAAGCCTTTTTGAAGTTATCTTGCAACAGGCTGATCCAATTAAGATCCTACACCTGTAGGGCAGCTATTTAGATCAACTATTCTATAAACTGTACATGAACTCTATAACTTACTTAAAGCAGTTGGCAGGCCAGTTTACCTTGCTATGGTCCTAACTCTGCTGTGCTGTGGTCCTGTCCAGGCTGAGACTATGGAGCAGTTGTTCCGCCAACCAGAGGGCCTGCCAGACTGGCCACCACTCTTCATCTCAGAGACTATCTCCCAGGTCACCATTGTAGAGAAGACTGGTCCCCCAGCCCCAGACAAGGACAGCATCCTGATCCCAGCCTCCGCCCCATCCCTCTTGGACTCAGAGGTGCCTGAGGTCCCAGAGGAGGAGGAGACCCCCCAGCCCCCAGAGCTCCCCAGGAGTGTGGAGAGCTCAGCCCAGTCGTCAGTGACCTATGCTATGGTCCTGCTCTCAGACGACCCACGCCGGCTCTACAAGCAGGACGGCAGCCACAGCCGCTCCAGCGACGAGGGCAACTTCTCCGCCAACAACTCTGACATCTCCGGCTCCTTCCCCGGGGGCCTGTGGGAGTTGGAGAATTCCTATTCCCGAGCCGGAGAGTTGGACCTGGACCCATATCGTTCATGCTTCTACAAATATGTGGAGGAGTTTTCTGAGACGTCGGAACAGGAGGATGAGGCCCTGGGTGGAGAGAGGGATGGGGGGATGGAGGGGATGGAGGAGAAGGACCTGTATTACCTGGGAATGGGCTGTCAGGAGGAGAGTGAGGAAGAGGAGGAGGAGGAAGAGAGGGAAGAAAACACAGGGGCTATGCTGCTCAAAGAGGTGGTGGTTCTGCAGAGAGAGGGCTCATCCATTGAGTCCAACCCTCTACTTGGGTGTCGGGACTCTATGTTTAGTGAGTCCAGTGATGAGGGGGCAGTGGTAGGGATAGGGATGAGGTCTGTCCCCCTCTACCTTCCCCAGTTCAGAACTGCTCCCTCCAGGCCACTCAAAGCACAGGACAGCACCCCCAAGCTGTAAGAACTGGTAGTGCCTAATATATTGTTTTATTCTAATGCAGCTGTTTAGTCCCTCAGGAGGGAGAGGACTCAGCAGAGACACAGACAATGGCCTGTGGCCATTGTTCAGTCACTGATAGGCTTGTTTCTCAGTTAAGGGCATTTACAGAAGCTTGGCTGTGTCTTAGATGGCACCCTGTTTCCTATACAGTAAAGTGCACTTAGATCCCTATGGGCCCTGGGCAAAAGTAGCAAAGGTAGTGCACTTATATCAGACATTTTGAAAATGGGGACAAGGCATCTGAGGGGGCTAGGCATACTAGGTGCTAAGCCTCTGCCCACTTTATAAGGAATAGGGTGCCATTTCATAAGCATCCTCCCTCCGTGTCTACAGTGCCACACTGCTGCTCTGCACCTTCAGTCCATAGGAAGCTACAGTGAGGGAAAAAAGTATTTGATCCCCTGCGGATTTTGTACGTTTGCCCACTGACAAAGAAATGATCAGTCTATAATTTTAATGGTAGGTTTATTTGAACAGTGAGAGACAGAATAACAACAAACAAATCCAGAAAAACACATGTCAAAAATGTTATAAATTGATTTGCATTTTAATGAGGGAAATAAGTATTTGACCCCCTCTCAATCAGAAAGATTTCTGGCTCCCAGGTGTCTTTTATACAGGTAACGAGCTGAGATTAGGAGCACACTGTTAAAGGGAGTGCTCCTAATCTCAGTTTGTTACTAGTATAAAAGACTCCTGTCCACAGAAGCAATCAATCAATCAGATTCCAAACTCTCCACCATGGCCAAGACCAAAGTGCTCTCCAAGGATGTCATGGACAAGATTGTAGACCTACCCAAGGCTGGAATGGGCTACAAGACCATCGCCAAGCAGCTTGGTGAGAAGGTGACAACAGTTGGTGCGATTATTCGCAAATAGAAGAAACACAAAATAACTGTCAATCTCCCTCGGCCTGGGGCTCCATGCAAGACCTCACCTCATGGAGTTGCAATGATCATGAGAACAGTGAGGAATCAACCCAGAACTACATGGGAGGATCTTGTCAATGATCTCAAGGCAGCTGGGACCATAGTCACCAAGAAAACAATTGGTAACACACTACGCCGTGAAGGACTGAAATCCTGCAGCCCCCCTGCTCAAGAAAGCACATATACATGCCCGTCTGAAGTTTGCCAATGAACATCTGAATGATTCAGAGGAGAACTGGGTGAAAGTGTTGTGGTCAGATGAGACCAAAATGGAGCTCTTTGGCATCAACTCAACTCGCCGTGTTTGGAGGAGGAGGAATGCTGCCTATGACCCCAAGTACACCATCCCCACCGTCAAACATGGAGGTGGAAACATTATGCTTTGGGGGTGTTTTTCTGCTAAGGGGACAGGCCAACTTCACTGCATCAAAGGGACGATGGACGGGGCCATGTACCATCAAATCTTGGGTGAGAACCTCCTTCCTTCAGCCAGGGCATTGAAAATGGGTCGTGGATGGGTATTCCAGCATGACAATGACCCAAAACACACGGCCAAGGCAACAAAGGAGTGGCTCAAGAAGAAGCACATTAAGGTCCTGGAGTGGCCTAGCCAGTCTCCAGACCTTAATCCCATAGAAAATCTGTGGAGGGAGCTGAAGGTTCGAGTTGCCAAACGTCAGCCTCGAAACCTTAATGACTTGGAGAAGATCTGCAAAGAGGAGTGGGACAAAATCCCTCCTGAGATGTGTGCGAACCTGGTGGCCAACTACAAGAAACGTCTGACCTCTGTGATTGCCAACAAGGGTTTTGCCACCAAGTACTAAGTAATGTTTTGCAGAGGGGTCAAATACTTATTTCCCTCATTAAAATGCAAATCGATGTATAAAATTTTTGACATGCTTTTTTCTGGATTTGTTTGTTGTTATTCTGTCTCTCACTGTTCAAATAAACCTACCATAAAGATGATAGACTAATCATTTCTTTGTCAGTGGGCAAACGTACAAAATCAGCCGTGGATCAAATACTTTTTTCCCTCACTGTAGCTCTGTCATGTATCAGAGCTGAGGAGAGGAAAAGAGAATCCTTTATCCAGTGCCGCACACTTTCAGGAACTATTATGCTGGGATGAAGGGAATGTCAGAAAGGAAGAAAGAAAAGGCATATTTTCTTTCCAATGGCTGCTCTGAGCTCAACAGTCTATATGTTAGGCTGGGTGGGGGACTCAGGTGCAGAGACGGACACACGGACAAAAGAGGGTGAATTAGGATGTTGTTTATTCAGCGTGTTTTGGCAGAGAGAAACAGTTCAGGGTGGAGTAGCTTCAGACCGGGGTAGGAGCTGAGTGGGGTGGAGAGCCAGTAGTACTGAGAGCTGGATGACGAGGATATCAGACAACAGATGAGCAGGTTGCGGCGTGGGAATGGCAGGCAGGCAGGCAGCAGGAACAGACGGGATCTGGTCGAAGGAGAGACAGGTTACAAACGTGGCAGAAACAACTATAATGCTGAGAGAGTAACAACTAAACTGAGATTGCTGTACGGAGCCAAGTTACCACAGGTGGTGTAGGAACGAACTGGCGCTGGAGAGGTGTCCAGCCCGGGTAGATAACTGCTGGTTGACTGGTGACAATGAGCTGCAGCTGGATGTAACTGAGCATGAGAGAGAATGGCCACGCCCCCTGACCTAGATCCTCTGACTGGGCTGCACAGCAGGGGGAGACAGACACACACAGGGAAAAAAGGAAAAGGAAAACAAGCAGGAACAGGACCAACAGTGCCGGACCGTAACAGTACCCCCCCCCTCAACGGGCGCCACCCGGCGACCCACCCGGCTTGTCAGGGTGGTCCCTATGGAAGTCAGCCACCAGCTGCGGATCCAGTATAAACCGTCGGGGAATCCAGGACCTCTCCTCGGGACCGTATCCCTCCCAGTCCACCAGGTACTGAAGCCCTCTACCACGCCTCCGGACGTCCAGCAGTCTCCGCACCGTGTAGGCTGGATGGTCGTCAATAATACGCGGTGGCGGAGGGGGATCCACAGGCGGACACAAAGGGCTGGAGGAGACCAGCTTCAGCTGGGACACGTGAAATGTAGGATGGACTCTCATGGCCTGGGGAAGCTTCAACCGAACAGCCGAAGGGTTGATGATGGAGTCGATCTCGAAAGGACCCAAATACCGGGGCGACAGCTTACGGGAGTCAGTGCGCAGGGGGATGTTGCTGGAGGAGAGCCAGACTCGCTGACCAGGCTGGAACTGGGGGAGCGACTACCCTGTGCCTGTCCGCCACTCTCTTGTTACGCTCTGCTGTCCGTAGAAGGGCCTCACGGGTGTCCACCCACACCTTGCGGCAGCGACGAAGGTTATCCTGAACTGACGGGACGGCTAACTCCTTTTCCTGAGACGGGAACAATGGCGGTTGGTACCCCAAAGCCGCCTCAAATGGTGAAAGGCCGGTGGCAGATGAGGTGAGGGAATTGTGGGCATATTCGACCCACGGGAGGTGTTTTGCCCAGGTGGACGGGTTCTGGGATGTCACACAGCGTAGAGCAGCCTCCAGGTCCTGATTGGTCCTCTCAGTCTGGCCATTGGACTGGGGATGGAAACCTGATGAGAGACTGACAGAGGCACCCAGAGCAGAACAAAACTCCTTCCATACCCGAGAAATGAACTGTGGGCCTCTATCGGACACTATGTCCACAGGTATTCCATGGGGACGGAATACATGTAGGACAAAGAGGTCGGCTGTCTCACTGGCAGACGGTAATTTTGGTAATGCAACAAAATGGGCAGATTTAGAGAATCTGTCCACGATGGTGAGTATGGTGTCATTACCCTCAGACATAGGAAGTCCAGTGACGAAGTCCAAGGCCACGTGAGACCAAGGACGACTCGGGACTGGGAGAGGCCGCAGCAGGCCCGAAGGAGCCCGGTGGGAAGCCTTATTTTGGGCACAGATGGAACAGGCCGCCACGTACTCCCGGACGTCAGTCTCGACGGATGGCCACCAAAAGTGCCTCTTCAGTAGCGACAGTGTACGGTTCATACCAGGGTGGCAGGAGAAGCGCGAGGTGTGGATCCAGTTGAGCACTTGCGGCCGCACGGCTGCGGGAACATAGAGAAGGTCGGGGGGGCCATCGGCCGGTCCAGGTTCCGACTCTTGTGCCGATCGGACGAGGGACTCGATTTCCCAGTGAACAGCCGCCACCAAACAGGAAGCGGGCAGAACAGGTTCAGGATTGCTGGAGTCTTCATTGTCTGTAAACTGGCGAGAGAGAGCATCAGGCTTGACATTACGTGTGCCAGGACGATATGTTAAAATAAACTTGAACCTGCTGAAGAACAGAGCCCATCTGGCCTGACGGGAGTTTAGCCTCTTGGATGACTGGATGTAAGCCAGGTTCTTGTGGTCTGTCCAGACTATGAAGGGTTGCTCTGCTCCGTCTAGCCAGTGCCTCCACTCCTCCAACGCCAACTTGACAGCAAGCAACTCCCGGTTACCCACGTCGTAGTTCTTCTCAGCAGGGGTCAATCTCCTGGAGAAAAAGGCCACAGGATGGAGCTTCTGGTCCGTGGGGGAACGTTGTGACAGGACAGCCCCCACCCCCCGAATCAGAGGCGTCCACTTCCACAATAAACTGCAAACTAGTGTCTGGATGAATAAGAACAGGTGAGGTGGAGAACAGTTCCTTCAATGTACTCACGGCTGACTCGGCCTCAGGCGTCCACAGGAATGGCACCTTTGGGGAGGTGAGCTTGGTCAGGGGGGCAACCACTCGGCTGAAACCCCTGATGAAGCGGCGGTAGAAGTTGGCGAAGCCCAGGAAGCGTTGTAGCTGCTTCCGAGACGTGGGTGTGGGCCACTCCGCAAACCGCTCTGATCTTGTCAGGGTCTGGTGACTCTTGTCCCCGCTCGATAATAAAGCCCAAAAAGGGGACGGACTGCCGGTGGAACTCACATTTTTCTGCTTTCACATACAGTTTATTTTCCATGAGGCGTTGGAGAACCAGACGGACGTGGGAGACGTGTT